ATCGCTATTCAGACAACGAGACATTAGTGTCCGTTGCTAAATAATGACGTTGGGCATGGCCTTTGAATTTTCAAAAGTTGCCCAAAATTCAACATTTAATTACAACTAAGTTGTTGCTAAAAGCCAAAAAATTCTAACAACGGGATTTATATCCCGTCGTTATTTTCTATAGTTAATCCAACTCTAATTTGTCATTAAAACTCCCGAGTAGTTTTAGAAGTCGTATTTAGCAACGAAATTGATCCATCACAAATTGATCTCTATTTTGTCGCTAAAGATAATGCTTTCTTCTTATATCTTCTCCTTTATACTCTTTGTTTAGAACCGAGTATAAGCATTCAAAACATAACAAATTAGTGTGAAGTAGATATCATTGTAGGATTTGGAAAGTTTCATGGCTTAAGACTCTTCTTATGTTAAGAAACATAGTAATGTTTTATCGTACAAATGCTAGATTTGAATACCGAGATCCAAATCTTGATGCAAGGAAGATGTTGAGATCGTGGATTTAAATAGCGAGCGCGGTTGAAAAAACGATCACAATCGTGATCACGGTCGTAAAATAACGATCGCGACAATTAATTGTGTGAATATATTAACAAATGGTAATAAATTTATTCTAATTCACATATTTTGACAATTTTACTAATTAAACATAATAATAAGTAATCATATCTCTAATAGTTTAATGACATATAACAATAGTTAAATTTATTATAAGAAATAATTAATAACACTTTCAATAGATTGATATCACATGAAAAATAATAAAATACATTATAATTTCAATAATTGCATGAGAAAGGAAGCAAAAGAAGACAAAAAAAATGTCCTTCCTTTCATTAGTAACTACGGGAGAAAGAAAACAAAAGAAGACAAAAAAAGTCCCTCATTTTCATTAGTAATTGCGGGAGAAAGAAAGCAAAAGAATAAAAAAATGTTCGACTGCATTTTAAACTTTTTTTTCAACGAGTTTAAATTTTTTATATATAACGTCGTTATATAACGACTAATAACAACGTTACATAACGGTAATGTCGTTATTTGCCGTTATAGGCGTGAAACGACGTTGAGGCTCTTATAACTTTGAAAAACGATAACAGAGTTACCCCGTTACCGTTATATAATGATCGTTATGCAACATAACGGTCATTTTTTAAAACCATGGTTGAGACATTGTAAGTTCACGGATTTGTTATGAAGGGTTTAACACGAAAGGCATTGAATAGTTTCGTTTGATGTTGAACATACGATCATATGGTGTCTGCGGAATCCCTAAGAACAATCTTTTTTTTTTTTTTTTGTAGTATAATTAGGGATTACATGATCTTTCAAGCTTCGGTCAAAATATGAAGGTTGTTATATAACACTAGCATGGTCTCGACTCGAAACAACTTTAGGGGAAACCATTTTTGTCGGCTTGAATTTGCAAGCTTTGGAATTTGACTTATTGAGTTGTTGGATTTGATGATCATAGATTGGTTTGTATTTGCAAGCTTTGGAATTTGAATAGGGGAAAATATATGGTCAATCAATGATTTGGATTTGGATGCTCAGTTGAAAAAAAGAGTAAAATATTTTTTTTATTTTTTCCAAGTGGCAAAAAATATGACGTGTCATGTCATGTGGATTATTTTATGCTATTTGTTAGTTTTGATCGAAAAATAGTCAAAAAAATCATATTAAGATAAAATAAAGAGGACAGAGAAAGGTTGAAAAATCTAACAATATAGACCCAATGTCAAAAACAGAAATACGTCTATATGATTAAACTAAATCAATTCCTTAAAATTATGTTATTGAATTCCCTATTAAGTTAGTTAGAACAAAATTTTAGACAAAACATCACTAATTTTGTCAAAAATCCTAATATTCAATGCACTGAATTTTTCAGAAAAAGATATCCTAATAAATTTGGTAAAATCCGCGTTACTCAAAAATTTAAAAAGCAAATGCCTCGTTTTGTTGACTAGTAAAAAAAAAAACGTCTTGAAAAATAAAATAAAATATAATTACAAAGAGAGAGAGAGAGAGAAAGCCAACATGGCCGGTGCCATCGTCACTAGCGGATCTTTTTTTAGCCCTTTTAAATTCTTAACAGACTCTCCCCGTCTCTATCTTCATTGCCATCTCTTTCTTCCCAGCAACGGAAAAACCTTTCATAAGTCACAAATTTATAGCCTGTCTCTCTTTCTTTCAATTTCTCTCTGAAGAAATTTAAAGCAAAAATTAGTAATAATAATTGTAAAGTTATAAGACAGACAGAGAGAAAGAAAGAAACCAAACCCCCACCCATAGCAATAATTCACTTCTCTTTTCTTTTTCGTTTCTCCTTTTTCACAGTCTATCCTTTTTATTGCCAGCTCTTCTTTCCTCTCTCTCTTCGTTTTTAGCTCTCATTCTCTCTCTCTCTCTCCCTCTCTCTCTCTGTCTCTATCTCTGCGTGTACACACAACGCGTAATCATCTTTTTTAACGCAGAGATTTCCGGGTACGTACGTATATTCTTTGGCAGACAGATAGACTCTGATTGCTTCTTTTTTTAATGTGGAATTCTGTTAGATCCCTTTTGGTTTCCAATTTTATTTCGTGTTTTCTGATCTGGGTTTTCGTGATCTTGTTCAAATATTGGTGGCTTTTATTTGTTTTGATGATCTAAGCTTTGATCTGATTGTGAGTTTGTTTTGTCTGTTTGTTGTTCTTTCGTTTGTTTGTTTGATGATCTTTGAATTCTGTTTGCTTGTGTTGATTTGATGTTTATTTATCTGGTTTTTAACAGTTGATGATGGTTATGTTTGTATAAGTTAATATTTGTGTTATGAATGATTTGATTAACTTGAGAGCATCATGATGATCTTAATCAAATATCTTTAATAATGTATAATCGATGGCTTATTGAGAAAAATCCCGGGTTTTTTTTTTTAATCAAATGATGTTTGCTTTTGATAGAAAACGACTAGATCATTGATTGATAAGGTTTGTGCTTTATAGTAGGACGATTCAGACTGCAGGCTTTTGGATATCATTTATTGGATGGTGGAGAACTTTTTTGGAAGGTGGAATGATTTGCTGAGACTGGTTTTGGGGGGTGTCAGCTTTTAGAGGTAGTTGCTGATGGAGGGTATTCTTATAGTTTGTTGCGATTATAGGTGAACATCTCCACTCACGGTTGCTTAAGAACGTGGGCAACTCAGGAACGTGGTAGGTTGTTAGTGGATAGTATGGAAATGCTCTGTATCTGGTTTAAAGAATCAATCAGTTGCAGCACTATCTGAAAACAGATGAAAGTGTGTTGTCTAGTTTAAAGAATCAATCGGTTGCAGAACTATCTGAAAATGGATGGAATTGTGTATAAGAGATATGTGATTATTGCTATTACTAGAAGGCTGATTGAAGATCCTCCAGCACTTGTGCTGCTTCATTTTGATGTTTAAAATTTCAAGTCAAGAATGCATGGTGAGAAAACTTAAGCTTATTGCAATGTTGAATTGCTGGTCATGGTCCTTGTATACAAGTAGTAGTTCCAGATTCTGGGTATGATTATGTAATGAAGCCTGGTAAGGAAGTTTGAATTTATTGATTTCTCACTGTTCATGCATTGTGAACATTGACAAATTCGGGACAAGTTAAATGCAGACTCCTTAGAAGAAGCATTACCATTCTGGTCTGAGATTATTTATAATGTGTGATGCTAGGATAGTAGCCATGTGGTTTCTCATATCATTTTTTATATCATTTAAAGTGGGTAGATGACTATTGTTTGCGAAGACCACTGGGAAATGTAGCTTTGGATGTTGAAGGTATGGAACTAAGGATTTTTAAGGATTATATTATGGAGGTTCTATACATGTATGCCTCGTATTTTCATTTTACATGAAGGATATGTTTTATGCTTTAGGCCAAGGCACTGGGGGATTTGGCACCTGTAGGATGTGCCAACAAGATGAGAGCCAATCAATCAAATATTTGAAAACAGTTTGTCTTCTTGCATAAGTTGATGATGAATAATATGTAATGGAAACTCAGAGAGCAAACCAAACAACCTGATGTGGAGCCTAGAAGTTGATGGTTCTGGAGAAATTTGAAGAGGGGAAATATGACGATTGCTGCATCCACTGCAGAGGGCCATTATGTTAAGGGACAAACTTCCAAATTTGAGGAAAGAATTAGATGAATCTGAGCCTTGCTATGCAAGCTAGATGTTAAAGAAAAGGGTAGAAGATTAGTCTGATCACATCTAATACAAAGTTGGATGTTTAAACTACAGGATTAAATCAGAAGTGCTAACAAGATATCCAACAGTACAACAAAACTATAGTTAGCTGCTAGGATGTGCCCTTATAATATATATAGAACATATGCTATTTCAGCTTTTTGAAAGTCATCAATGCTTGTTTAATACTTCTGGGAGCATGTCGGATGCTCGTGCTCCTATCCCCCCATAACGATAAAATAAACAAATAGGACACTTTAGCATGAGTTTTTATCTATTTTAAGAAAAGAAATGCTTGCTTAATTAATGAACCTAAAACGTTGTAATATCAAGGAAAAAGTACTATGCACCTCTTTAGTGAAACAACCCACCCAAATAAATCAATAAAGAAGAATGATGATGAAAAACAAATAAATATACCCTGTCAAAATGGCATGGGATAAGTTTCATTTAGGATCTTGTGAAAGTATTAAGTAGGAATTCTGATCATCAAGGGTTCAACTGGTAGAAAAAGTTTCTATTTGTCCGAGTATTCGTTATTTCTTTACCACGAAAGTTGATAGTCATGCAATTCCCCTAATTGGTTTGTTTTGGATGTTGCATTTAAATTATCTTCCTTTTTTGTGAATGGTGCAAAAAATTGTTGCATACGTAATTTTGCCCAAATTATTTATCCTTTTATCTTGCAGCAGGCTCTCTTGCAATTTTCAGATACCAAATAGCTGGGTTTCAAACATAATCTACTCAATTTTTTCCTTCAAAAGCAATCATAACAAGGATTTTGGACAATGTCTAGCTCTGCAAAAGCTTTGGATCCTGCATTTCAGGGAGTGGGCCAGAGAACGTATCCTTCACTGCACGAGCAACTTCATTGATGAAATTTTTTATTATGCATGTTATATTATTTCTATTTTATTGGTTAGAGTTGTGGGTGCTTCACTTTTCTTAGTGATTTTTTTTTAAGTTCAAACATGTTCCTCTCTGTTATACTTAACATTTTGTAGTGGGACTGAAATTTGGCGAATCGAGAATTTTCAGCCAGTTCCGCTGCCAAAATCTGATCATGGAAAATTCTACATGGGGGATTCATACATTGTTTTGCAGGTATTAACGTTCTCCATCTCTCTCTCCGTCACGCCCGCATATACATTTGTTAAATTTTTGGTCTGTGGTCTATGTTTGCCTTAATTTGTCAAATGAATGGTGAACTTTTTGTTGGTGTGGAAAATGTTGAAGTATTGGGATTAATATTTTTTCTTATCTATTTTTTTTTTATGTTAGTTTCTAAACTAACTTATTTGCACTAATAGATGGTATCTTGTAAATATCTTTCTGGAAGAGAGCATGTCAATATATTAAGGATTACTGTAGTTTTTATTTTGCTAAGAGGGACTTCCTTTTGTTTCTTTTCTTCATCTTGTGCTCGCTTGTCTCCTTTTCTTTGTAGACAACCCCTGGCAAGGGAGGTGCTTATCTGTATGATATCCACTTCTGGATTGGAAAAGACACAAGTCAGGTGTGTTTCTGACTTTACAAACTTCCTCTTCAAGGACCTGGTTTTGTTATATCTTGTCTTCACATATGATTTAAGAATTGAAATTATATTCTCATAGAATATCATAACATATCACAGGATGAAGCTGGAACAGCAGCTATCAAAACTGTTGAACTGGATGCCGTTATTGGAGGGCGTGCGGTGCAGCACAGGGAAATTCAAGGACATGAATCTGACAAATTTTTGTCGTACTTCAAACCTTGTATTATACCATTAGAGGGGGTGTTGCAACTGGGTTTAAAAAAGCTGAGGAGGAAGAATTTGAAACGCGATTGTATATATGTAAAGGGAAACGTGTTGTCAGAATGAAGCAGGTATCACTGTATCTGATCTTGTAATATGAACTTCACGAACCCAGAATAAAATCTTCTCCAATGTGAATCCACCATGAATGAGAGCATATGATTCTGAGTTTTGTTTGCACAGGTTCCTTTCGCCCGGTCATCATTAAATCATGATGATGTGTTTATCTTGGATACCAAGGCTAAGATCTATCAATTCAATGGTGCAAACTCTAATATCCAGGAAAGAGCCAAGGCTTTGGAAGTGATTCAGTTTTTGAAAGAGAAGTATCATGAAGGAACATGCGATGTTGCAATTGTCGGTAAGTCACCTGTATTTACAATTTCATATTGCGTTCCTTGTTTCCACTCCCTATACTTTTCAACAGGCATACTTTATCCAGCCATCTTTTATTTGCTTTTTTTGCAATCCTATTGTTAATATTTATTTGCCTGTTACTTATCTCTACATGATTGCTTTTATGATGCTAGATGATGGGAAGTTAGACACGGAGTCAGACTCTGGTGAATTCTGGGTCCTGTTTGGTGGTTTTGCTCCAATTGGCAAAAAGGTTGCCAGCGAAGATGACATCATCCCAGAGACAACTCCAGCCAAACTTTATAGGTATTATGATCTTATATGATTTTGTTTGTGCATCCTACTAGAATTTGCAGACTTGAAAATTAAAATAGAGTTTGTGATTTTTCCTGTTTCTTTACGTTTGTTGTCAATAGGTGGAAATGTTTACTTCTGCTACTCATCAGGTTATAAGAAAACAAGTACTTTTAGCTGTCACGTTTATGTTGTCCTTTACATTCACATATATTCAGAACTAAAGAACTCGCTAATAAGGATGCTGAAACATCACACTTTGTGAATCTGCATGAGCTTAAAAGAACAGTGTTAACTCATTTCCACACGCTTCTTGTCATCAGCATATCAGTTATTGGCATGTGCTTGTTGGCATCCAATTAATTTTAATATGCTATCTATTTTCTGGGATTCCTGGAATCTGCAACCTGTTAGTTGGCATACCATTATGTGTAGCATATAGTTCTATGATGTTATCGTTCAGTATTATCATTTGAAGAATGGAGTTATGCAGCTGTCATACAATAAATTTGTCATCGTTGTACTCTAGCTCCTTACAAGCATCTCTTAAGTTGCTTCATTTACTATCTTGGTATAGATGGTTGGGGTAGAATTTTACAGAAATAAGTAATTTGAGTACTGAAACTGCAGCGTTTTTCTTGTAGAAGGTATTGTGCTGTAAAAGTAAGACTCATCTGGTTGCAATTAATTTCCATGCTGTCAACACCTCATCGAAATTCAGTTTATCCTTTTACTTTCATTTTGATTGTCTCCAAAGACTTGATTTCCTTTATTTTGGAAGAAACATGGGCATGCTTAATCTGCTTCCAATGAATTCACAAGCTCTCTTATATCGACATAAGCTACTAAATGCTAATTTGTAATCATTGCTTCACGCAGCATTACTGATGGTGAGGTGGAGATTGTAGAAGGAGAGCTGTCTAAAGGACTGTTAGAAAACAACAAATGCTATCTCCTTGACTGTGGTGCTGAGGTATTTCTTTGGGTTGGCCGTGTAACACAAGTGGAGGAGAGAAAGGCTGCCAGTCAGGCTGCTGAGGTAGAGACGTGCATATTTTTTTTTGTTTAAACAAGAATATGAAATCCCATCTCTGAGCCTTTTTTGCAATTCTTGTCTACACAAAATGTGGAATCTCATTTCCAAACTATTTTTGCAGGAATTTGTTTTGAGCCAAAACAGGCCAAAAGCTACTCGTGTAACCCGACTGATTCAAGGTTATGAGACTCATTCATTCAAGTCAAACTTTGATTCTTGGCCTGCTGGATCTGCTGCTCCTGGTGCTGAAGAGGGAAGAGGGAAAGTAGCAGGTATAATCACATGCTGAGAGTTGAATTAAGCAACATATTTTTTGGTAGCATTATTAAATTTGGTATATTTGCAATGTAGCTTTGCTGAAGCAACAAGGTGTTGGTCTCAAGGGTTTGACAAAAAGTGCTCCTGTAAATGAGGAAGTACCACCTTTGCTTGAAGGAGGTGGAAAGATGGAGGTTTAGTTTGGGACCCTTTATTGTGTTTTGGGAATTTTTGAATCTTATGCTTGTTAAAACCAGCAACTCTTGGAATAATGAATTCTGTTTGGTTTGCAGGTATGGTGCATCAACGGCAGTGCAAAGACTCCATTGCCAAAGGAGGATGTTGGTAAATTTTATAGTGGAGATTGCTACATCATACTCTATACCTATCACTCTGGTGATAGGAAAGAAGATTACCTTCTTTGCTGTTGGTTTGGAAACGATAGCATAGAGGTAATTTATAATGTTTAAGTTGGGTTAAGATAATTGAAAACAATTATGGTCAATGATGGTAATGTCTCCAAGCAAATAGTATAAATGACTGGAGGGTTCTTATGCATGTAAAAACAGATACATGGTACATTTTTTCCACTTCTTTGGCATAGTGGACATGTTGTTCTGGTATGAATGTGAAACAAATGCAATTTTCTTTTGCCTTTGGAGTTTGGCTGTGATTGTAAAAATACCGGCTCCTGCATGATGTAATGGACCACTAGTGTTTGGTACTGCAATTTGACTTTTTTCTGTTCTCTACTTCCCTCAAATCTTTTCTTAATCACTTAAATTATGGTTGCTGGATAGAAATGAGTTCTTCAGATATCTATTTTTGTGTGCTTGTTACCTTGTTCCACATTGCTTCTGGCATTCCTTTTCTCTAATCTGCGTAATAGCTAATGGAGTTGTTGATGTTTGTTCACATAATCTGGCATATTAGCCTTATTTAAGTAGTCCATTTATTGCAAAGTAGACTGCATAGCTCAATCCATTTGGGACATGTCTTTTTAGTATTTTTGGCATGTGAAATTTTTGGCCTTTCTTCTTGTTGCTGTTACTGCTGTTATCATCAGTGTCACACAGTTTCCTATGTGATAAGATTTCCAAGTAAACCCTATCCTTATTAGTAGCATGTGACTATAGTTTTTCGTTGCAACTCTCCCCAAATTAGGATTAATGAGTCACTTGGATCCCCCTGTTTCTGTAATATGCGTTCTGGTTTTTTAGTCTAAAAGATCAGTCCCTGCCCTATCATGATGCTGCACAGCAGAAAAATGCCTAACCCCTTTTGGTTGGTTTAACATTGAGTTTTGTGGTCGCCCAATCCAGGAGGACCAGAAGATGGCTGCTCGGCTGGCTAATACAATGTCCAACTCATTAAAGGGCAGACCTGTACAGGTATGTTATAATCTGAAATTAAATTGTGGATATTGCTTCTATTACTTGCATATAATAGCTGCTTTCTACAGGGTCGTATTTTTCAAGGTAAGGAGCCTCCACAATTTGTCTCACTTTTTCAGCCTATGGTGATCCTCAAGGTACCCATTTTGAATACTTTACAATTTCTAATATTTCAATTTAAGTCTCAATTTTTATTGCAATAATGAATTTCTTTGTTTGGTCAGCTGTAAACAATTTTGCTTTGATTCAATTCCTCTTTAGGGTGGTCTGAGCTCTGGTTACAAGAAATTTATAGCAGAGAAAGAATCGCCAGATGAAACATACACTGCAGATTCTGTTGCACTCTTTCGGATATCTGGAACTTCTGTTCATAACAATAAGGCAGTGCAAGTTGATGCAGTATGTTGTTTGATCATTGAGTTTTTCTTTTCTGCGGATAAATTTTGTTAATCTTGAATTCTCCTATGAAGATATTTTATTCCATCATGTTTCTTGTAATCACAGTTGTATTCTGTGTATGTTTTTGGTGTGTTAGTAATCTGGAGACCACAATTATGGCCAACATAATCCGTTTTTCCCTTCCAAACAATTCAAAATTTCTTCATTTTTTCTTTAAAAGTGAAAAGGAAAGATCCATCTCCATTTTCCTTCAAAAGCATTTCGAATATAATCTTAAAATATCTAATTGCATCAATCACTGGTAAAAGAGGAGTAGCACTAACAGTTACATATACCCCAACAAATTATTCTCTTTCAGGTGGCAACGTCATTGAACTCTGCAGAGTGCTTCCTTCTGCAATCTGGCTCATCAATTTTCACCTGGCATGGGAATCAAAGCACCTTTGAGCAGCAGCAGTTAGCTGCAAAAATTGCTGAATTTTTTAAGGTATTATCCTTACTGGAATGGTAGTCTTTTTGGTTTTGTTGAAACATGTTGTCCCTTTGGAAAGAATATCAATGGCTTGTTCTAAACCTCTAATTTCAAAAGTACCTATCAAATGGGAAAATGGTATTCAAGCGATAACTGAATTTTTCTCAAATTTAATTGTGTTACTTCTCAATTTTATTGTACACATCAAATGAATTACAGTGATATTTTCAAATCTGTAATATCAGATACTTTTCCTTCTAATCCATATTCCCCATTTTTTTAAAGAGTTCTTGATACTTGGATTTCACTAAGTAACTAATATTTATATTTGCCTTGGAGAATATCAATGAATTACAGTGATATTTTTAAATATATAATATCATATACTTTTCCTTCTGATCCATATTACCTAATTTTTTAAAAGAGCTCTTGATATTTGGATTTCATTAACTAACTATATTTATATTTGCCTTGGAGACCTATTAAATGCGCATGCACACACATACAAACATAAAAATAGAGAGAGAGAAAGAAGCTGCACATTTAGTTAAAATTGCATTTCAACTGCCACGTGTCTCTTGTAGTTTCTCCGATTGAGTTAGGTCTTGCAACACGAACAAATTTCCTCCTCCTGCCTTTTTTGTCTTTTATTTGATCTTCATCTTACTATGATTTGCCTAACTAATTCAGCCAGGAGTTGCTTTGAAACATGCTAAAGAAGGAACTGAAAGCTCAACTTTCTGGTTTGCCCTTGGAGGCAAACAAAGTTACACCAGCAAAAAGTTTCTCCAGAAGTTGTCAGAGATCCGCACTTGTTCACATTCTCCTTAAATAAAGGTGACATTTCTAATTCTGAATCTTGGCTCATACTCAGAAAATTTCATTTATTTTCTTTTTGAAATATTCTGATTGAAACTATAATCTGAGACTTTTAAGTAGTTGAAATAACATTCTAACTGGGCTTTTTTATGATCATTTGTGCTGCTATGTGGATTGCCAGGGAAATTTCAGGTGAGTTATAGACTTTTAAGTGCTGTTGAAAATTCTTGCTATTCAGCTTCTTAGTGGCTTCTCATGTTCAATTGGGCAGGTTGAGGAAGTTTACAACTTCTGTCAAGATGACTTGTTGACTGAGGATATCTTGATTCTTGATACCCACGCAGAAGTGTTTGTTTGGGTTGGCCAGTCTGTAGACCCCAAAGAAAAGCAAAATGTTTTTGACATTGGCCAGGTAGTGCTTAAAACTGTTCTTTGTTTGTCATATTTTTCCTGTCAATGTTACTTACAGTATATATTCATTGCAGAAATACATTGAGATGGCTGTATCTCTGGATGGTTTGTCTCCAAATGTACCACTGTATAAAGTTACTGAAGGAAATGAACCATCATTCTTCACATCATACTTTTCGTGGGATCCCACAAAAGCCACTGTATGTGCAGCATCAGAATTATTTATCTTTTCTCTGGTTATATTGTTTTATCGTCTCACTAATGAGTTATTGTCATTGGGAATAGTAAAATCCAGAATGTTATGAGTGGCATATTTATAGAGGACTTGAGGTGGGTGCTGTCCATACCATGTGGACAAATTCTCAGAAATCCCGTGATTGGGTAGGAAATAATAGAAAATGTGGTTTGAATTACTTACTGAAGGCTTAGCTTGGTAGTACAGGTTGATCATTGATGGCATGCCTTATAGTCATCTCCAAAGCTTTACACTAACTTCATCAAGTTTGGGGTGTCTCATTAAAAACACAAAACTTGACTAAACAAGTGTAGGTGCATGAAGTGAGAACTTTTGAGGCATCAGGAAGCTTGTGGGAAAGTTAGTGTCCTAGACAAGCCAATGGGTATGGGATGAGAAGCATTTATTAATAGGTTTTAGAAATATAATCAAGGCAAAAAGATTTTTTTATCCCCCTGGATATCAGTTAAGGAAACTCTTTTAAAAGTTCCTCAAATAGTAATCCAGAAGAGGAAAAGAACAATCCTACCTTGGCTTGGGTGTTTGTAAAAGTTTGTTGAACTCAACTCCATTCAAACGCTACATCTCTACAAAATCTCAATGCCTCCTTATACCAAAATCCATAACAGAACATCAGCACTAGCTCTTCTGCTTTACTTGGGTCACCCATGATTAAAAAAAAAAAAAAAAGGTACACCACATACCCCAAGCAATTAACTCAAAACAATGACGATCATAGTAATGATGACAAACTTTGGAGATCGGAATCTGGATGTGTCTTTTGTATTCTTTTTTTTTTAAAGAAAAAGAAATAAAGAAACAAGCAAATGTGGTTTGGTTCCTCTAAAGGTCAATACTATGTTATCAACAAACTTCTCTTTGGTCACATATGTGCCATGTTCAATAACTTGTTCTTTTGTTTGTATGTTTAAAAATTTCATCCTTGCATTGCAGGTTCAAGGAAACTCGTTCCAAAAGAAGGCTGCGTTACTCTTTGGTTTAGGACATCATGTTGTGGAGGTAAATATGTTGCTTAATGCAAAAGGCTTGTGCAGAGCTTAGCGATGGATAGATAACTGTACCATTTGTTGTTTGAATGAATTTAAACTATTATTATTATTATTTATAATGAGATGTCTTTATTTCTTTTACTGCTGAATACTATGATGAGACTTTTTTGTAATCTTGTTCTCCCAAGTGCCTTCTCTACAATGTATGTAGCTTCTTTTGGCTACTTTTCTTCTCCTCAATCCCACAAACTATGTTGACGTCGTGTCTTTTGCTTCTTCTTCTCTCTCTCTCTCTCTCTCCCCTTTTTTTTTTTGGGCCTTTTGTTTCCCTTCTTCTCATTCTCATTCTCTGTCTTATTTTACATGTATCCTTCCTTCCCATATTCTCAATCGACAACTATGATGCATACATTTTTTGCTGACTGATTATCTGGTAATAGGAGACTGCCCATCAGCATTTGCATTCCAAGCTGTAATTTACCCCTTGCTGTTCTTGTTCTCCCTGTATGTGCTAAGGCAGTTGAGTTGGATCTTATATGTACTGTTGGTGTTGTCAATGATGATGATGGCATGCATGTGTATCTCCTTGCAGGATAAGTCAAATGGAAATCAAGGAGGACCAACCCAACGGGCTTCAGCTTTAGCTGCCTTATCTTCTGCATTTAATCCATCTTCTGAGAAGTCATCGCATCTGGTAAATATTTTGTTCATGCAACTGAGTAAATTGCCTTTCATCTTTTTTCTTTGACTATGCAGGTGTCTTCTTTCTTTACCTTTCAATGTTAGCTGCATGTTGTTAGCTACATACTGTTTTGTATGTGTTCTTTTTTCTTTATTCAATGGGTTGCTTTCTTCTTCCCTTGTAGTAAACAAGTCATAATATTTTTCAAACAAGTCCCCTGCCAAACCAACGGAAAGGAATAGTATGGCTTGCCTTTTGTTCTTTCATGTTCTTAATAGGTCTCATGGAGGCTACATTTTTCGGGTAATAAGGTCTCTGTAATTGGGTAAAATTTGAACTTTTTTTTTTTGTTAAGTGGCATAGTTCTAATTATATTCGTTTTCCTCTCTTTGAATGGAGTCAGCTGGAAATTTGATGCATACAAAGCATCATCTATGCACTTTTGTTGGTTTTACGAGCATCTGTTGCCAATGATTGTTGTATATCTTCGCATAGAATTTGCATTTGGATGTACGATTAGCGTTCCAACATTAGATTCTTGCTCGTTTGACTGCTGTTTATTTACATGTTTTTCTTGCAATTTCTTCAAAGCATGCTTATATTATCAAAGCTCTTAGACCTGAAAATGATGGTGCATGTTTTGTCAACTTCATTTACTGAATCAACTTCTGGTCTAATGAGGTGGATGTGATTTGAGTGCAGGATAGGTCCAACGGATCAAATCAAGGAGGACCAACACAGAGAGCTTCAGCTTTAGCTGCCTTATCCTCTGCATTCAATTCATCCCCGGGGTCGAAAACTACTGCTACAAGGTCATCTGGGATCGGTCAGGGATCGCAAAGAGCTGCAGCTGTTGCTGCTCTTTCATCAGTTCTCACTGCTGAAAAGAAAACACCCGAAACCTCTCCTTCTCGTAGTCCTCACTCAGAAACTAACCTTCCTGGTAAGAAATTGTTCTCCTGCATGTTTCAGATGACGATATCCCAGATATGAAGAAATCACAGCTGCTTTTAAAATGTCCATCTTATTCTGCAAGAGTATATTTTTCTGTTGAGAATTGAGTCTTTGGTTTAATTTGATCTCTCATATATATATATATATGTATGAATTGAACAATCTAAGACATTTATGCACTTGTAGCTGAAGGGAAAAGTGAAACGCTATCTGAAGCAGAGGGTTCTGAAGGAGTTGCAGAAGTCAAGGAAATGGAAGAAATTGCATATGTTCCTGAAAGCAATGGGGAGGATTCAGAAAGAAAGCAAGATACAGAGCAGGAGGAGACTGATGATGGGAATACTCAAAGTACATTCAGTTATGATCAACTGAAGGCTCACTCTGACAATCCTGTAAAGGGAATTGATTTTAAGCGGAGAGAGGTTTGGTCCTATTCTCAATGTTGCTACTTCACTTGAATTTGTTTTCTGGATTGGTATTCAAGTTTTTCTTTCTTTTCAGGCTTATTTATCGGATGAGGAGTTCGAAACTGTTTTTGGGGTGACAAAAGAAGCATTTTATAAAATGCCAAAATGGAAGCAGGACATGCAGAAGAAGAAATTCGATCTATTCTAGTGATCAAGTCCATTAAAGGGAATTATTTCTCTACACTTTCGCGCTCTAACTCAAATTTCGTCGATCATTATGGTCTTGACTGCTCTGTTGGAAACTGTGCTTTCATCGGTGAACCATGCCTGGCTTGTTTTGTCTAGCATTTCACTATTTAGTCCTTGATGGAATGTAGCTGTGATTAGTATCGGTATTGGTTGTGATTATGCCTGAAGAGTGAGTTTTGCCCTTGTTTTTCGCTTTAAATCTACCTCTGCCTTGTGTATCGATACCAGAATGTAGTCTCTGGCAGTTGGCAGGTCAAATTCTTTTATTTGGTCACAGTGTATCTCATCGGTGATTATTTGACTTTATTCTTCTTCCTTTTTTCTTTTTCATCATTTTATTTGTTAAGAAAAAAAGGGTGTATATGTGCTGCACTTGTACTCGATTCCAATATTCAGGAATGAAAATTTGTTGTTTGGAATAAGCGTGGTTTTGTATAACTAGTTATTGAATCAGTGTTGAAAAAATATTTTGTAATATACTTCTTATTGGTTAGTAATCTGAATCTTTTAAATAGCTACAACCTCAGTTCATTTTAGCTCTTACTAGATGGAAAATCTTAGTCTAGTTAAAACCCTGGTTCTGTAACTTCCTATTAAGAAGGTTCAGATTATTTTTTTAAAGATCAGGCGGTGATGTAGTTTTTATGCACATATTTCAATTATAACAGTATTAATGACCATATAATATCCTTTTCTTTGTCTCTGTCTTTTCTTTTTCTTTTTTTTTTCCTTGGATACTATACAACATTCCTTCTTTTTTTCTTTTTTTATGTTTATGTTTAATTATAAAGATTTTTACCAAGATCAATGCTGAGGAAAAACTTACACTTGCTCTTAATTTAAAGATTGCAATCTTGATAAATAAGTGTAATTGGTAAGTAGTTGCTATTAAATTATCTACTATCCTTTTTTCTTTTCTTGCAATTTAGTTACAATAGTTTGCTATGTTGATCCTAAATCGTATCTTTAAAGAGTTTTTTGTCTTGGCTGAATGTGATTAAGCTAAAATTTGATTCTTTAGACTATTAACATTTTTTTTTCTTGGCTGAATGTAATTTTTCTAACCTTGGCATCATCCATATATCCTTGGTAAAAACTAGAAAAACGATTTAATGATGATGCGTGTGAATTGATAAAACATAAATTAATGAATTGATTCGATGGCCGATGCAGACTTCTATTGCAATTAATTAAGAGCACTACAAGTAAAAGACTAAAACCTAAAATTTCCTCAGCTTGGTCAGGAGGGTGACAAAATAGAAACGGACAGAGGTTGATCAATTATTTTGATTGCATTACGTTCTACCTAACAATGATATTTTATTTAATTTATGATAACATTATTTAGGAAACAAAAGCCATCAATCACTTCATAAAAACAGATCTGTCATTCATGATATTCCACAACATGGATTGACTTTTGTGTTGGTATTTTTGTGCAAGGATGAACAAGCCATGTTATCTGATGGGTCACCCATTTTTTGAGCTAGCCCATACATTAGTGGAATGATAACAACCACAAATACCATACACACTTATCCAAAACAGCTACCGCTTAAATTAATTTAGGGTAAATTTGAAATTTCCTTCTGGAGTTTATGTTTCTTTTTTCAATTTCATCTAAATTTTTTTATTTGTTTCAATAAAACATTTTATTTTTCATTTTTGTTCCTATCAGCCTGCACGTCTTTTATTTTTATTTCAATCAACCCCACATCTTTCACTTTTGTTTTAATTTTTTCCTCCATCCACTTTCATCAAGTGTGTAAATTTCTACTTCATCCATAAAGTTTATGAAATATCTCAATATCATCTGAAAAAAAAAAACCAATTCGAATTAATAAAAATAAAATCAAAAAATCAACAGAAAAATATTTTTTTAATTAAAACAAATATGATAACAATTTGAGAGGGTTGGTTTCTTAATAAATCATCAAATTCTACGAATTTCAGTTATCACTTAATAATGATATCTTTTTATTTTTCAATACCATAGTTAAATAAAAATCAAGATTCAAATTAATATAACTCTCTTTTATTTTATTTTTTCATAAAAATTTTTTGCCATTCTGATAGCTCTCAACTATCAAGTCCCCTTCTTTTTTCTTTTTTTTTTTAATGTTATTGTCAAATAGCATTTTTGACATGTGAAAATAATCCCTATCTAGGTGACGTCAAAATTATCATATACTTAAGCTATCACTCCATTCACAAGAAATTTTAATTTAAAAAAAATTATTTAATATTTTAATGAAAAATTAGATAAAAAATGTAGATACGAAAGTTAGCGAGAGTACTTATGAGATGCAATAATAGTAGTTGTTGATACTTTTTATTAAAAAAATATTTTTTATCGTATTTGTTTCTAATGTAATATTATTTATGTATCTCGTCAAATGACTAGTAGATAGGGTTGATGGATATTTTTTTTTATCATAATTTTTATTAAAAAATGTCTTTCTTTAATGATTTTTTTTTTAATTTCAATGTGTTTTTTTTTGGATTATATTGAGGCATTCCAAAAAATACTTTGAGACAAATTGAAATTTACAGAGTAGAAAAAAAATGAAAGATATTGGATCTAATGGAAATAGATCAAAACTTCTAGATGAAATTGAGGAAGCACAAATTTTAAGGGGGCAAATTGAAATATACTCGTTGATTTATAAGAATTAATGGGGCTGTATAGTCATTATAAAACGAGATAACCATAAACCTACCTTTTTCGTTAGCATGATTGGGATTTGCGAATGCTTTATGTTCCCTTTTAATGGTCCAACAACCAAAAGTATATAAATTCTGTTAAATTATTGCAACCTTTGTCTAAACTACTGCTCTACCCATAATTTCATTTGTTATAAACTGTTTCTTAAACCCCATCGAAAGGTTTTATAAAAGATTAAGAAAAGTGGACAAATTATTTCTATGTACTTAGTTTATATGGACCATAGGTGACAATGAAGCGTGATTATTTATTATTCTGCCAAATCTTTTGCGAGGACCACTGCATATGGGAACAAAAGTTTTTCAGGTCCACATTCGTATTTCGTACAATTCTTTAAAGTCCTTGTCTTTTAATTTTGAAAACTCACCCCTATAAATTTTTCTAATTTACTAAAAACCCATTAAGCTGATTGGGCTTCGCATGGCACATAATTGGGGCTCATGTGATCACTTGAGCTGGCATAACCATATTTAGTTTAGTAAAATGGTGGGGTTTTGTGTTATTTTCGATTAAAACCAATGATTATGATCAGAAATTTTTCAATAATTGAGATTAGCAACAAGCAAGGGTTGGTTTACATTTATAACTTAAATATCTGCATGTAACTCCATCATACTTAAGCAATGGATACCTTCCAAAGTTCTCTCATTGGATTATCCAAGGAACATAGCCACCCTTTAAGGGATTTTTTTCTTCTTGTAAAGATTCGATCACATGTCCACATCCTTTGGAAAGTGATCAAACAAAATCTCCAACGATTAATTAAATAAACACAATACGGAGTTGAATCACATTTGAAGTACTAAATGGCTAAAGTATACAAAACAAGAAAAGAAATACATTGTTGTTGTTTGATTAATTTGTCTTTTTCACTTGAAAAAACAAATCGTATTCTGATGATTGATGAGTTGTTATGGATAACATTTATAGGTAGATTAATGTAAGTGGATCATAAAAAGAATGTAGGTAGCACATACTCAATTAAGTTTATACCATTAGCCCATCTTTAGTAGTATTAAATTAACTGATTTTTGGGCGTGTCTCGTACCAAACCTTCTATCAAAGCAGCCTTCAATATTTTTCTTTTACTTTCATTTTAAGTTTTAGAAATAAAAAATTAGGTGATTTTTTAGAAGTTTATCTAAGATCAAGAAATGTGTTTCCTCTTTTAATTTTTGGGAAAAAAAAATTAATTTCGAAGTACATGCAAACTGCATTGAAAATAATTTTTTTTAAAAGTACCACCATTCCAAAAATAAATAATTTGTCTATGTTTTATTTTTTTTAATTTAAGTACTCCAATCGTTGCTGAAATATGTTGTGGAGTCAGAATTTAAATTGAGAACTTAATGGTGCTAATGTTTGAATTGGAGAGGAACGAATGCTTCAATCTTATTAGAAGTTATTAGTTGATTGTCCGTACAACACTACGGATCAAATAAAACACAATTATTTTAGTTTGATACTCAACACTATGTTATGGGTCTATAAAGTCATATCAAATCAAAAAAATTTAAAATGCAAAAATTTATAAATTTTTAATCAAAATCTTGTATTTAATTAATTTTTCTTTATGTTTTTCATAATTTTCATCTTAAAAAAAAACATGAATCATTTTTTTATGCATTGATTCTTAAATGGAAGTTTGTAATAATCTAAAATTCAAAAACATGCTATAAAAATATATTTTCATCGGATCGTATAAAAAATATTTTTTTATTTTATTTCAAAGAAATTAGTTTTATGATATTAAACAACAAAAACTAATAGAAAAAAATATATTTATTCACAAAAATAGTCGATAATGTTAGTATAAAAAACTGTATTTGATTCATTGAGTAGTTCTTTTAAAAAATTATTTTATTTCGGAGAAATTAGTTTTATGATATTAAAAAAAAAACTAATAGCAAACAATATATTTATTCATAAAATAGTTAATAATATTAGTATAATTGTATTTGATTCATTGGGTAGTTCTTTCTAAAAAAAATTATTTTCATTATTTTATTTCAATGAAATTAATTTTACAATATTAAAAAAAAACTAACGACAAACAATATATTTATTCACAAAATAATCAATAATATTAGTATAAAAAACTATATTTGATTCATTATGTAGTTCTTTTAAAAAATTATTTTTATTATTTCATTTCAAAGAAATTAGTTTTATGCTATTAAAAAAACTAATAGTAAACAATTGGTGTTATGTGTGTAAATATATAGTTAATTTTT